TTATATATCCCAAGATATACTATTTACGTATACCCACCTATTTACATGATAACTTTTGATCATGTAAAACTATTCTTAGAGATCAAAGCAACTATGCTTTCTCTTGCTCGTGACTTTACCAACACTGTCCCTTCTGAGGGATAAGACCTCACTGGCTGCCTCCACCCAAGGGTCTGTCTAGATGACACCCACTGATACACAAAGGGATAAAACAGTCCCTACTTTCAGGGAGTAGATAGTCTAATACAGAAGAAAAAAGAATATTACAAATAAGCCCATGAAATTGCTGACTACAAGTGCCATGAGAAGTTAAAAATGTCTGGAAGATGGGACTTTTCACTAAGAAATGCTCTTGTTTTTCTTAGGTGAAGCAGATTAAGTCATTAAGATCACATAATCATAAATATGTCTTTTCATAGTTGAATAAAGCCTTTTTATAACATAGCAGTAGCTCTTGTTAAAGAAAGGGTTGTAGTTTGTGTTGAAAAGAATACTTTCCCATATTTCATCACTGATACCTGACACTTGTCACTGTCTTCCGAGCCTAATGGTGGCTGAACTGATGGGGCTCCATTACGTTACGTGGAACCCTGGAGACAAACAAGTATAACAGTTGCTATGCCAGTTGTTTCTAACTGAGGCTGATATAACAGTCAGAGTTATTACTATTATAGATCTTATTTGGGTAGCATTAAATTTAACTTACTAAACTTAGTTGGCAATTTACTCATCTTTACTGCTATGTGATAAAATCGAAGGAAGGAAATATTTGAGTATGAAAGGAACAGTGACAGAAACAGCATCGCAACAACTTTCTAGGCCCAAGACAGAGCCACTCCTGCCTCAGGTGTCAAGTCAGCAAACTAAAACTTAGAAAACTTTCTCATCCCTGTTAAATGTTTCACTTAACCAGAAAACAGGATATCCAGTCAGCCATTCCTGAAACACTGCACTAGCTCTGCTCCGTGTGCTTATTTCCTATTCCTTCTTTCCCCAAACAAGCGTGACTCTGCTGTCCCAGCCAATCAGATATTTTATATTTTTCTCTTCCTTGTTCTTCATCTTTTATCCTATAAAAACTTCCTGCTTTGCACCCCATTTCACAGTTCTCTGGACTCTTGGGAATGGAGATTTCTCACTTCACAAGTTTGTGTCACCTAAATTGTGCTCTTAAATAAATTTTAAAAACTCTTTGTTTAGAAGGACAAATACAATTAAAACTAAAAATCCTCCAAATACAATTTACTGATAAAAATGTCTTGGAATTATTGATCTTGTATATACAGCAAAATAATTGTAGTGTTAGTAGATTACTGGCCACTTGTAGCTGGGGAATGAAGAATCTTCTAAAACTGGATTGTAATGATGGCTGTCCAACTATACACGCTAAACATTTCTCACATTGCTCTCATCCCTGCCCAGACACCATTTCCTGTTTCCTTCCCATGTGCCCCGGATAGAGTAACACTACTGCCACCCTCCTACCCCTGCCACTGAGAGAACACCTAAGAGTAGACTATACATGACATTTTTTGTAAGTGTGTCTCTTCACATTTGAATGAAAGTTCAAGTATATGACAGCCCTGCTCTTTAGTTCATGGGTGAACTATTCTGAGAATACTATCTTAAAGTGAATAAGTGCTTAATGAACATTTATTGAAGGGATGAGCCAGCCATCAGAGCAAGAAGCATCTAGAGTGAGAACAGTGAGAACAGGAACTGACCCAACCTCTATGACATGATCCCAGGTGATGTAGAACAGATGTCCAGGTGCCCCGCAGAGCCTCTGGTTTAGTGACTTTCAGGTGGAAACCAAGAACTTGCAAGTTCTGGTAAATTCCCTGAGGATCCTCACATGGCTGGGCAGGAAAGCACATACTCTGGCAGTAATTTAGAACTCTTGGGGTTAATGAAGTAAATTTTTGTATCATCCATAACTATTTTTTGAACAAATGAATTTTTAAAATTCTTCTTTGAAACAATTCATCTTCTTTCCCTTTACATTTCTTTAAGCATCAGCAATAATGTGTATTCATGATTATAATTTTTTAAAGCTATACTCTATTTCATATGTAATTAAAACAAATGTTACACCTACAATCAAAACACAAGAGTCAACTCTTTTAAGTATAAGAAGTGATTTATGTATAATGCTATCTTTACCTGGATATTGATTAAATTATCTCAAAGCTTAGAAGAGTCTTGTATTGATCTGGCATCAAAAATCCCAATTAAAGTTAAAAGTCTACAATAAAAGGGCAAAGAAACCGACATTCTGGCCCCATCCTAAGCTCACTTAACATAATCTCATTTTCATGCTCAGGAAGACTTTAAATATTTTAGAGCAGTTATTTGTCTTTTGGAGGAACTGTGGTTTTAAGAGTTTGATTTGCTTCTCAAAATACACCCAGCAAGAAAGCTGGAGCCAGAAATTCACAGCAATTTCAGACCATACTTTCTCCCGGGACAAAAACCATGAGTTTTGTTAGTTGTTTATGTCACAAATCCATTGAGCTGGGAATAGGAGATCTGGATTAGAAAGCAAGTTTCAGGCATGGGGAGGACTATGAAAAAGGTAACCAATAAATATTTTTTGAATGAAACTGATGCAGCATGAGGCTGAAAGTCATGTAAGCTAAGGAGTCTTAGGGTCAAGAACAGAAAAAGTGATAAAATAAAGATAGCACTTTAACTGTCTGTTTACCCCTTCATTCAATAATCTTTCATGGAAATTCATAGTTAGCCCCTACCTCAAATCCCTAATGCTGTTATATAGAAGAAAGACATCTCAAGAAAATATAAAGAAACCAAAACTCCCTAATACATCACCTCCAGTGTCCAGAATATAGTCATTGCTCATAGATGTATGTCTAGATGTGGCCAGTATTTAGTGTGATTTTCTCAAGACCTCTCAACCTAAAGTGCAGCCACATGGACCACTGGCTTTTCTCCTCAGTGCTTCTGACATACTTTTACTTTTCTCTGTAAAACCACTATTAAAAAGAAAACCACAGGTCCCAAATGGAGTCACTTAATGCTGGGCCACATCATCAAACCAGGGCTTAATACCTAATCTAATTAGTTTCAACCTCCCCCAGAAATGTAGTCTTAACCAGTCAGTCAAGAATTGTCTGGTCAGCACCAATGAGGAAATCTGCCATGTGGTTCTGTCCATCCTCCAAAGGCTGATGAGGTAAGCCACCTACTAAGATCCCCACAACTCCCTCCTAAAGGAAGGTAAACTTGCCTAAAACAATCCTTTCTTTTATTTTGATAATTATCCTGCCCTATTTCTTACTATAAAATCCTTCTATTTTGTACAGCTCATTGCAGCTCCCCTCTACTTGCTATATGGGATGCTGCCTCATTTATGAATCCATCAGTGAAGTCAATTAGATCTTTAAAATGTACTCAGTTGAATGTATTTCTATTATTTTAGACCATCATGCACCCTTAATTAAGGTTTTGTTAGTATTTTTGTTTGCTTATTTTGTTGTGTCTATTTTTCTTATCACTCACGACAAGGGAAAAAATAAGACATTTGAAATTGTGCAGAAATCAGAACTTTCAATAAATGTCATGAAGTTCTGGAGCTGCAATTCCTGATTCACCGCTCTCATAGCGTGCTGAGAAAGTGACTCAAAGTTCTGTGGCACTCCAGGGATCTTCTGTCATTCCCTGAACAAGGAGCTCAAACCTCCCAGGCAGCCAGTGGCTGGATAACATGCAGGGGAAGGTGCACCACAGCTGACTTGTCTCAAGTGGGTCGTGGGTATTTCTGAGGACTTCCATACTGTGTACTGCATGTCGCCAGGACCCTTCCTTCCCATCACTGAAAGAATATCCCTGTATTTAATTTCCTCATTTTTCACACATAATTTTTTTAATCCCTTAAGATTAAAATAAAAAGTGCCCTTTCATTCTAAATTCTGGAAAGACCTAGATGTTTCTTTGGTGATCTCAGATTACTTCATTTACAGCCACATTTTATCTGGTCTCATAAAGCTGTCATTTATTTGAATACTTATTTCAGTTTATATTAAGAAACTTTAAATTAGATATAGAGTTATCTCTGATGTCATTACAGGTACCATCCTGTGTTATATAATAATGTATATACCAAATAAGACAGTTATATGACTCAATCTCATCTTCAAATCATATTAGCTGATGTTCTTGGGTTATGAAATATCCAAAATTGTACCTTCCTCAAGTAATCTGAAAAAACACAGAAATTAGATTATATTTTAAAGTATATGAAACCCATTTTGGTGGGTTACTTCCTTTCAAACTGTTAACCTTTTTCATTGATGTAAAATGCAATATTGCCAAATAGGAAAACATTTTCATATTTCTATACCTGTGTTATCTATGTTTTCTTTTGTTTTGATCTTTTTAAATAGTGCATCTCTTAAACTAAGAAAACAGCTTACTATACTTTTCTTTTTAAAAGTATTATATATTACTTAGTCATTCACTGTTTCTTTCTTCTTTTTTTGGTAAGTTTTATACATGCCACCTTTACTCACAGCATGCAAAGATGGCTATTCATATAACATCCTTCCTAATATACCCAAGTTCCAAAATACTATTCTCTCTTAGATAAATATCATGCTATCATAAACTAGGTGCCACAAAATAAGAGATATTCTAATACTGTAGTGAAAAGGAATTGTTTTGAGCTCTAAGTGCTTAGAGAACAAATAAATGCATCTGCCTATAATTTCAATCAGTCACTCTATTGTTCAGAGTAGATGACAGGATAAGAACCCTGTAAGTATTTTGTTCAGAAGAGGGGAGGAAGCATAAAGAATCTGAAGGTAAGGCAGGCTGACAGTTTGATTTAGCAGCATTAGGAACGTGCTGTTTTCCAGACATGATTACAATAGCTGTATTAGGCAACAGAACAATGATTTTCAAAAATTTATGATAAACACATACAGCAGCAAAAATAAAATAATAAATTGATTAATATAATTAACCCTTTCTAGTATTCTTACTTAGAGGCAGATCCTGCATTTTGGGGATATAAAAACAATCCCTAAAAGGCCTCAGTTTATCTTCCTCGTCGAGATGGAGGGCGACCCTCTCATCTGTTGGGTGACATCTAAGTTCAGAGGCAATATGTCGCACTGTGTCAGCTGGTAACTCAAGAGATGAAGGCTCCATTACAAGGTGTTCTTTAAAAATGAAAAAAAAAATATTAGAAATAATCTAGCCACAATCATTATTTCTATATAGTAAAAGAAGCTTGGGGTTTTTGTTGTTGTTGTTGTTTGTTTCTTTCCTTCTTTTATTTTTGGAGGATGAGGCATTATTTATGTAGTCACATTGGAGCGAACAGATTGACCTTATTGAAGTGGAGCTCAGTTCATATGACCTGAGATAATGAAAGTGCAGTTGTGACAGTGACATGACTTACCTTCTTAAGGATACATAGGAAGAATGTTGCCTTGTGCACATATATTAAGTAATGTTTTCTTTCTTTCTCAATAAAAAGCTACACACTTCAGAATTTGTTTTGCCTGGTTCATCTACTCCTTCCACCTCAACCCACACACAGAGCTGATCAAAGAAGAGTTACGTGTCTGTTCTGTAAATTTAATTTCTTCTGCTTTATTTCTTTGACCTCCTTCTTTCTCAATTGCCACCAATCTCCCCTAATAAGCCATTCTTTATGTTCCCAGATAGGATACTAAGCTTTATTCAAGTGTATCTTTATAGCTTTGTTACCAGTAAAGGCTTCCACTTGCTACGATCCATGCTATTGTACAGAAGTCAGTGATTTCAACATTGATGTTGAAAATTCTTTCAATATCTGACCACATTAGATTATTACTTGTCCTCTTCATGAAGCTTTTGATTTTTCTTATGCCATTCCATTTGCCTAAAATGTTCTCCTTCCCCTCCTACATATTCAGATCCTAGTCACCCTTCAAAATCCTAGCTCAAATGTCACTCTTTTTTCATGAGGCCAGTCATGATAACTCAGCTAAAAGTAGTCTTTCCTCCTCTGAATACTTGTAACCCTTAGGAGCATATCTCTAATGATAAATGAAACGCTGCTGGGACTATGGAACGTATGTGAATAGGAAAAATCAAACGTTCGCTATGCCTGCAATTTGATTCTACATGGGTCCCTACCTACAGCTTTCCAATGAAGGAACCTGCTTTTTGAACAGAGATGACTGTGTCTACACTGCCTGACATTATCAATTGCCTATCACAGTTGATTAGATCTCTGTTGGACACTTGACCCACTAAAGACAATGCATTGTTTTATCAATGATCCGTGAGTGATTTCCTGTGAAAACTCTAGCCAAACAGTCCTGATAGTGTTTAGCTGAGCATATAATCAAATTCTCTCAGGAATCTGAGCTGTGAGATATAGTTATTTATTCAGTTAGACACAGGTGCAAATATTTACAAGAATCACAGAAGTGATAAAATGGCTGAGTCTAGCAGTATTGTCATAAGTGACTAATTTTTTCAGAGACAAACAGAACCAGTGATTGTTAAAGCATGAAGTGATTCCATCGTCAAGTAAGAATCACTTACTCACATAATGGCAGGGATTAGAATAGCTACAACTCCTGAGAAAGTGACAGGATAAGCCAGTCTGGAGATTCACTGAATCCTTTCTTGAAACAAACTATGTGCAAGACCCAGAGGCCACCTACTTGGCTGTTCCAAGAATCCCATTCTAAGAATCCTCTTTTGCCTCTCAAGTGTGTCATTACTATAAATCCATTAATTAACAATAACTTGATCAAGTTGCTGGTCTATCCTACTAACCTGTATTCTACCCGGGGGCCTGAGTCTTGTTTAATTTATCTTTGTGCCCAACCCCCATTCCTGAGCGTGCCTTTTAGATAAAGCATTCCCTGCAAATGTCAATTGAATAAGAATATACAACACAGCTTGGTGATTAATTTGACATGATTAATGACTGTTACCAGAGGGATGCCCTCCTCATTCCAGTCACATGGATGATAATTAAAAGAACATTTTCAGTGAGACTCAGAAGCAAGATAACTTTGGCCTTATATTTGGGACTCTCTTTGGAGAGTCAACACTGAGAATTCACTGGGGTTGCCTCTAAATTCTAAATGGGTTACCTAAATAAACATACAGATCAGTTTGCTACCATTATATTCTCAGTAAAATCCAACTTTCTTGATTAAAAATAAAATATTTTCATATTGAGTCACTAGGCTTCTCATGTTTGTTTCTTATTTAATCCTTGTAACACTCTTTAGAGGTTGGAATAATTTTCCCCCCATTTCAATACCAAACTCTGGAATGAGCAGCGTAGAAACACAAACTGAATAGAAGGACCAGAGAGCTCACTCTCTGGGGCTGCACTCTGCCTGATTTGCGGAGTCAACCACACTTGTCTTTGACAGAACATGTAGGTAGAATGTGCAGACTTGAGCCTCTCACTCTATTTTTCCTTCATCTTGCTTCCTGATTTTTAAAAATGTTTCTTTGGCTCATTCCCTTTTTCTTCCTTCATTTCTTTTTTTAAATCTCATACTCAGATTGCAAAGCACCAAAGGCTATCAATCCATCTGCTCTTTTTAAACCAATACAATCCCAGCCAGGCACAGGTTAAAGTGGCTGCTTCCACTTCTCGCTAGTCAGCCCAGGTGTCGCAATCTCATCCTCACTGATAGTGAGGCACCTGCTGTGACATAGTCTTTCTGGAAGAGCACACGTGGTTTCACCCTTCCAACATTCATAGTTTACAAGAGAAGCGGATACAACCCTCAGGGCCCGCAAAACAAAGTGCTGTCACTCCAAGGAAGGAAGTTATTAACTCATAATTGCAGCTGAATTATACACGCATCCCACCATTAAGACAATTCTTGCTTTGCAAGCCATAATTGTATGCCTTGTTTGGGTGTAGCATTTGCGACCTAACTGACATATTCTTCTTCTGAAATAAAGATATTCAATTCAAGTTCAAAGATTCCAAGTTTTGTAGTGCACATATTTAATGTGAATTTTATTAAGATGGGCACATACACATATGGCCTTAGGCAAGTTATTTGGCCCTTCTGTGCCACCATGTTATATAAAACTAGCCTAAATTCTACTTTCTTCGGAGGATCAGGGTTAATAGCAAATGAAATTAATTAAGTAAATGACTTTATAAAGAAATAAAAGATATTCTTACTTTTTTTTTAATATTAACACCTTGTGATGGAAATTACCATTTGACCCTCAGATTAATTAGCCTTTGGAATTTTGTAAATTGTGTTTTCATGGTTTTATTTAGATAATTATAAAAACTGTTTTTAAAGAGTCATGGAATTCAGGATCTCCTTGTCACCCAAGGGTTAAGTGAGTATGCAGTAGTCAATCTTTACACAGTGTCAGGTTTCATGTCTGAAATGAGCAAAGTATATACAAGTTCAAAGTTTAGAACCTGGAAAAGCAAATTACAAAAAAAGTGTGTAGCTTTTCATTGAGAGATAAAAAACAATGTTATTTAATATATGGGCACAGAGCAACTTTGCTTAAATGTGTTATTGTTCGAGAAATGAGTGATGTAACTGTCGCAACATTTCATATCCAGGATTATATGAATTACCCACTGAGCTTCACATAAATAAAATCAGTGCATTTGCTCCAGTGTTACTACCTAAATAACTCCCCCATTGCCTCACAATAAAAGCAGGGAAGGGGAAAAAAAATCTTCTTTTAGTGTACAACAGTGTGCCAACTTCCTATTCTTAGGCAAATATTTCATAAAATGAAAGGGTAAGAAACCTGCTCAAGAAATAGACATTTTCACTTCTCTAACTAAATACTCAGTATGCCTAATAGCATCATTAAACAACTAGAATTACCAGAAAACAAAGGAATTAAAGTTTACTTAGGGGAGTCAGAATCTTAATCTCATCTTACCATTTAAACTCAAGTAACTACAGGTTAACTTTAATTAGTCAAATAAAACCATCTTTTAGTAGGTGAAATGCAGTGTACTGTTGATATCAGTTATTTTTCACTACATTGCTAGCAATACCTTCCTTCATTTAACCAAAATTTTAAAGGTAGGGGCCAATAGGGAGCTCTGTATGAATTATGAAGATAACTTTTAGAGGGAATAAAAAGAGGAGAAACTGGCAGAGGAAATCTTAAGGTATTATGACAAGATCCTAACAGAGAGAATGTTTGGGGAAAAAACACCGAATGTGTATTTGTGTATAGAGTGTATGTTAGTGTCTCAGTGCTTACCGGCCAGGATTCCAATGGGTTCCACAGCTCCCAGGCTGGTTGAAAAACAAAACGAACACAAAGCAAAACAGAAAACACACCTCTCACGATTTCCCTGCAATTTGTAGGCCAGAACTCTTGGTGAGAAATTCAAGGCACTTAAGCTTAGACTCCACCCTGTGGGAAATTTGTGAACTAACGAGCTCCTCCCACTCTGTCTCTTCTGATTCTAAATATCCAATGACTGACATACATCCAGGCAAAAATCCTGCTCTTTATTCAGACTCAGGAACTCTGCTTAGGGTACTTTTTTCCCTAAGCAATTTTGCTCTTTGTACTGTGATAAACACTTCCTTGCCCTCCAGCTAACTTGGATCTTTTGACACGTAAGCTTTTTCCTATGGCGTAAACAGAGTATCCATGTTTGTGTGAGCTGAGCAAATGGAGCTGAATTCCAAAATCTGCATTCCTTCCTTGCTTTGGACTCTGGAATACACTAAGGCCTGGAGTAAAATTCTTTCCCAACTCTGAACATAGGGGAAGCTTGGATTGTAAGGCAGTATTCCACTGTCAAATGCACTGTTTGAGTTTCTAGTCTGAAGACAGTTTGACATCTAACAGATAAACATTCTAGTCAAAAGTTTAAAATACATTCCCAATTCTAGAAAATGCTTTACTATCCAATAGATGTGTTTTAAAAACTCATAGGTCCCAAATCTAGGCATTTAACAATCCAATCAAGGAAGAAAGAGAGTTTGAAGATAAAGTGGAAACTCGCCTGGAGAAATGCATACTTGCAAATTTTTTCAATTAAGCTTGTGGGTTATTTATTGTTCTATCTCCTTAACTTCTTTTTTTATGCTGATACCTGAGTTTGGGTCTTTTGGTGAGTATCCTTTTAGGCATAAAAAATGAAAGCAAAGAGTTTCAGAGTTAAGACTAATAATAGAGATGGGACCTGAATAACTGAATCATTTTTGTACACTTACGCCTTGTTGAGCCCCCAGGTAAAGCACTATTTGATTCAATCATCTCTACCATGTGTTTGCTATATAACTGGACAATTTACTGTGTTGAGGCTTAGTGTCTACCAGATGGACATAAAATTTCCTTCCTCACAAGTATACTGAGATATAAACAATGCATGTAGAAAGCCTGTGTACCAAGACGTGTAAGTCAATAAGTGACACGTTATTTTTTTCTCTTTTCTTCTTAATGTAACCAGACAAAAAGTACTTCCCTCCAGTCTTTAAGAGAGGGGGATAAAACACATGAAACTACTTTAATACAAATAACTGGACAGGGAAAAGAAAATGTGTTTCATGTAATTAATCCCATCCCATAAAGTAAACAGAGTATCCTTATTTTATTAAATTGGAAGAGTAAAATTTTGAATTTAATCAGGGTGTCTCGAAAGTTGTATGTTTTTTCCCCTATTTTGCTTATTTTTTACACTGTAAGCACTTTAGATGATTTGCCCAGTTCTAATATCAAGGAAGTGAGCCTGAGGGTGGAGTCTGTCTTTTTTGGTAGGAGAATCATATTCCTTTAACTATTGACTATGGATTTAAGTATAGAAATGCAGGTAGAGATTGATACATCAAGGTCTTGCTTTCACATTGCTTTTTCTAAACTCTTTTGATAATAGTGCTAAAAACCATTCTATCAAAATATATTAAAAACTATTGTTTCACATAGTCACTTTTAAAGAACTTGCTTGGAGATCTAAGCTACATTCCTGTTTCTTGTGTTTTATAATCCTCTTTGTTAATTTGTTATCTTCTATGAAAACTCAAAATTCAGGGGAGTAAATTTTAAAGATCTTATTGGCTTTATTCAGTGATTCATGAATTGGGCAGCAGGCAATCTAGCAGATTCAGAGGTGCTCTGAGGGGCTATACAAAATGACCGACTTTCATAGGCAGAAAAGGGTGAGAACTAGGAAGTTAACACTGGATGAAAAAAGTAGATTGGCCTTGGTAAGGTCCCTTTCCTTAGGAATGTGGCAAGAGTCTATCAGGCAGATTACCTAACTACTGCTGATCAGGTGATTCCTGATTGACTGGTGTAAGATTCTGGGACAGCCAAAAACTGTAATGAAGCCTCAAGTTTGGTGACACTGGGCTTAGCATCAGCTGCTCCATTTGGGGTCTCTTGTCTTATTTTTAACACATCATTCATTAAAAAAAAAAAGATTAAACATACTTTTGCACCAGGCACAAAGCTAAATGCCAGGGACATAACTGTGAGCAAAATCTTCATAATATTCACATAAGCCCTCAAAATATAAAGGGATTGTGAGATATGAAGCCATGGAGGAAGTTCTGAAAGCAAGATCCACTGTAGGGCCAGCGATGGAGGGAAAAGAGAACAGAGGGAACTTCCAACTTTTCTTTTTTGGAGACATGAAGAAGAAATGTGTCACCAGGATAAATTATTTTATCACTTCAGAGCGGTCTATTAATATGTATGTCGTCTTGCCTACGATGTGACACGTCTCTGAGAGGCAAGAGACTTTGATTTTATCACCCTCTTGGTTTGCCCGTGAATGGAACTAAAAAAGTATCTGTTGATTTAGTTGTTTTTTCCCAAAATGATTGAGTTCCTTCAATCAAAATAGATGATTGGGGATATAAGGAAGTTCTGTTCTCCCGAGGGGTAATTCTTAAACTTTGAACTTATTCTTACTCTTCAAGACTTGTTCCCCAGGGCAGGGGCCAGAGCCTGGCATACAGTAGACTTCAGTGCATGCTTATTATGTCACGTCAAATTCAATTCAGGGTAGCAGACTGCTACAGTAAGGATCCAGGGCTACAGATCCACTTCTGATGCTCTAATGCTGAATGTTCAATAAGTAAAAGTCGGTGATGAGTTTGAAGACAAAGATACTGCTTGGTAGCCAATCAGGTCCTACTATTACACGCTGCCTAGAAGTAAAAGAAAACCTCAACCTGGGGCCAGTTGGGGAAGAACTGATAAAAAGCCGCAGTCTCAAACTTGGGTGTTGACGGGTAACAGAATAAGCTACCCCAAAATATTACTGTAGAAGTTCAGGACTTGCAACCACAAAATATGCCTCTGTGATATACTGATTGTTTTGATATGTCGGCACTTGAAAAACAACAAATTCAGGGAGAGGCTTTCTCTGAAGTCCCCTTATCTGCCTAAAGACAGACCCCCCAAGGAACTCTGTTATCATCCCCACCCTGGGAGTTTCATCAACCAGAAAAGATAGACTCTTATCACAGGAGAGACTGGAAGTCTCCACCACACCCAGAACTTTGTTACAAACTATCATCTCTTTCACCTGTTCTTTTAAGGAGCCATTCTCCTAAAATCCCTTTACTCTCCCCTAAGAGGCTTTTATACCTCTCTGCTTTCTCTGTTAAGATTGTAGTTAAGCCGGAATGTTAAACTGGTGGGGGTGCAGAGGTGGAGGGTGAGGGGGTTTGGATTTACTCTTTTTTCTCTGCGTATATCTTAAGTATACAGGAGGTATAAGTATTAATGAACTTCTGCTTGCTTCTCTCTTGCTCATCTGTCTTTTATAGTCCTGTCTCAATAAAGACCTCAGAAAGATAAAGGAAAAATTATTTTCCTCCAATACAGTATATAGGGAAATGTCACATTAATCTATTTTATAAATTAAAAACTTTCTAGAAGTCACTACTTAAAAGAGAGGGAAATTTGAAGCATTATTGAGACTCTCCCTTCTTCCAAGAGGGTGGTGGGGAATTTCCAGATATTTTAACCTACAGCAAAATACTCAGGGACTGCCTCTTATCTTCATTCTCTCCCTCCCTTCTTCTCTCTGTTCTCCCCCACACCACCCTGCACTCCCAAGCACTCTTTCCTCTTTCTCTTGGGGTGAATCAGTATAACGTAATAGAAGCTTTCCCAAAAGCCAAGCCCAGAGGTTTTCATCAAGCAGTTTCTATTATGGACAACGAATGAATGCATAATATTCTTCAGATGAGTAGGGAAATACATAAAGAAGAGAACACACACACCAAAACTTCTCTGTCCTATGCTCTGTCCTTCCCCTTGCCTTCCCCCCTCTGCTCCCCCTTTGCCTTCCCGTGCCTTCCCTCCCTCTCCTTGTTCTCCCCACCTTCTCTGTTCTCTTCCCTCCTTCTCCCACTCTTCCCCTTTCTTCCCCTTCTCTCTCTAATTTCTATAGCAGGGAATGTAAAGCAAATTAATGTCCCAATGTATCATGAGGCTGTATTTAGATAATCTGTTCTCTCCTTCCTCTGAGGTATATATTCTGCTTATCAGAAAAAAATTTCCCAGTAATGGGCAGGGACTTTCCTACCCTCTATATATAGTATTTTCAGTTTTTCTGAGAAAAATACACAGGCTCATTATAAAAATGACATTAGGCAAGTTGGTGATAAAATTCATTTAGAAACTAAAATTCCTATAACCCATTCACTTTTTCCTGCATCAGAATTTGTCCCTCATTGTTTAATTCACAGAGGTATTGAAAGCTATCTACATGCTGTGTTCTAGCAAGGGAACCATAATAGGTCTCTATTAAATGTGTTTGCATGTCATTTTGCCCAAATGTCTGTTTTCCTGAAGGACTGGAATTAGCCATAATATTTTTTTCTCTGTATTCAAATAGGAAGTGGATCAAAGAATCAAAGCTGAACTACAAATAGTTGATACACTGTTCCCCTATATCTCTAAATATCAGTGTGATTTCCTAAGAACAGGGATGTTCACTCACATAACTTCAGGATACTTATCTATATCAGGAAATTTAACACTGACATGACAATATTATCAAATTAATTGAACTTAAAAATAAGGAAGGTAGTAGAAGGTAGAGTTCTCATATATTCCCTCCTCAATATTAATTTTTCCAATAAATATCTTATCTTTACTAACACTTCTGTCCAATCTGTTCCTTCCTTATGTTTTATTATATAGTATTCTGATACTGATTCTTTTAACTTTTTGACTCATTTTTTTCCTTTTTTAGTTTAGTTCATAACTCAATTTTTATTTTATGCTCTCAATCTTTATTCTTTTGATTGTCGTCTTCGTTACTCAAAGTTTTCCTTTATCGTTTAGCCTTTACTATATTTTGCTTTATACTACAAATTATTTATAATTTTTCTTATTTATTATTTTAATTCAACTACTTAGTTTCTTGCATTGTTTCATTTTATGTCATTGGTTTCATT